TGGCTCCAAGGCAGGAACATCATCGCAAAAAGGGGTAGCAGAGCAAAGTTGCTTATTTCATGGTATCCAGGAAGCAGAGTGGGTTAGAGCACCACAGGGAGGGTACCCCCATGATCCACCTAGACACACCAAGAAGTGTGCTGTATTTGTCTTTCTTGCAGGTTTTGGAAACACTGAATTTGATGTTCCTTTGTGATAAGCAATTAACTATTCATTTTCTTTACATATGTTTACTGAGTGCATCATGCTACAAAGATACGATGTTAATTATTAGAGATTTTAATATAAAAATGATAAATGCAGCTCTTCTAGGATTTTACAGTCCAATGAAGAGGGACCTAACAGAGGTTTTATGTATGAGAAATACTGATGTTATAAGTAAGATAATATCTATAACATGTTAGATGTCCTAGAAGGGACAATAAACCCATACCTGGCTGTCAGAGAAGGCAGAAAGCATGGAGCAAGGCAAAATGTTTCTAGTAGAAGTAGTAAGAGGGTAACAGAGAGAGACCTGGTGGCTCTATTGGAAAGCTTGATCTCTCCTGGAATAGCTAATTCGCAGCACTGGGTTATACAGTGAGGTGAATGGCAAGAGATAGAACTGGAGAGGAAGGCAGGTCTGTTATGGGGTCCACATACACAAAATAACAAGCACCGGACTTCCCTGTGTGGAGAATGGTGTGAATCCAAACATTTTAGGTGGGAAAAAATACAGTACTTTGGTTCCATTTGAGGAAGAGTGTGGGGTGGGGTCTAGGGAAGGCAAATGGAGACTAGGTTAGCAACTTAAAGCTGTGACTAGCAGTGCTAAGAGAATAAGGGAGGAGGAAAATGCTCAGAATAGGGATCCTCAGCCTCACCAGACATTTCTGGTGAAATTGTCTGGTGTGGAATTGTCCCACAGGATTAAGCAGCTTTTTGGCCTCTGTCCCCTAGCTGCCACAGACCAGTCCTTCTCCAAATGTAACAACCCAAAGTGTCTGCAGACATTGCCAATGTCCCCTGCGGGGCAAAACTGGCCCCAGTTGAGATCCACTCTTTTAGATATGATGATATTAAAATGGAATCAGCTGAACTTGGATGTGTGGTGATGGAGAGACATGTCAAGGGAAACTTCAGGGTCTCTTCGATGACAGAGGAGACAGGAAGAAAGAGGTCATGCTTGATTTTGGACACCTGAATGTGCAGTGGGTGTGGGACATCCTACTGATGACCCCAAGGGGTGGTTAGATGGATGGGTCCATGCTAACAGGAGAAACTTCAGCTGTGGAGATACAGAATTGAGGACTGTTTGCATGTGAATAGGAGCAAGGCCACAGGAATAGGTGAGCTCACTTAGGGAGTCTGGGGAATGGAGAAGAGGACCAGGCAGGAACTGTGTGGAACAGCAAGAGAATCCTTAAGTGACAATTTGATTTTAATGAAGGGGAAAATAGAAGAGAAGTGTGTATCACTATGGCCTTTAGAGCCAGTATTAATTTTGGTATCTTCTTGGACCCAAGCAGAAGCTAAAATTTAAATGTACTGAAAGAGGTGGTGGTCAGGAAAATCTACTTGAGATGGTTAGTTTTCTCATTACAAAGAATCATAAATGCATTATTTGTTGAATTTATATTTTCTATCCTCTCAGGGCAAAATAAAACAAAACAAAACCTTAAAGAGCCTTATAGTTGTATTATGGTGAATGAATACCTAGCAATCCAGGGCTAAGTTGAAAAACCCATTATGCATTTAAAATGACAGCAGTGTTGTTTCACTGCCTTGTCATCGATGTTCAAACACAGTAATGCCAGGCTCAGGGGAAATACAGGAGCTTTATATAGAGACATATTCTTTAGCCTTTGATAAAGTTCTACAGTGATAATTCTTGGAGAAAATAAAATGTCATGAGGCAGTGGACAAAGAGCTAACAGAATAGGAAGCAAATGCAATAACAGAAAATAGGATACCTGTTGGCAGGAGAGTCAGATGAAGTAGGAAAATAATTTCCTACAGGTGACATGATTTCCATAGTCACAAAGCTAATTGCCTACAACGCCAATTCCTTCAAGAAGCATTAGACTAGGGCAAAGCCTGTCAAAAAGGAGCTTGATTTTGAAAAGCCAGATGCTTAGGGTAAATAAGTAATTACCTGACTGTAACCTAGACACTCTTGTGAGAAACTCTAACTTGGGGCCAACAGTGTAGCACTGGAGGTCCGACACCAAAGTAATGCTTTCCAAGGGCATGCAAGTGAACCAGCACACCTGTTCACAATGTGCCCCAAATGCTGTAGTTCAGAGTGCTAAAAGGAAGCAAGCTAAGTACAATGCTAGTCCTGAAATTTCTCCATCCACTCGTCAGGGATGGATATGCACTGCTCTCTGCAAACCCGGGCATGTGCTTGTTCCATTTCCCATCGGGGCACTGGGTTGACTGCCTTCCTGGTTGCAGCCTGTCAACCTTTTCTGCCACTTTGCCAACATTAGAAAAGAAGTTAACAAATGGATCTAATTACCATCCTGGTTTGAGGCTTCTAGACTTTTTTATTCCTTCCAGCTGTAAAGATGTCCTCAGACTGAGCTTCACATTCAGAACTGCTGTCAAACTCTCACTTTAATGGGCACTTAAATTTAATGTCAAGCTGATGCCTCTGGAAGCCGTTGATTAAATTTGCAAACAGACTCTAACCGAACCAGAACTTTAGAGTTGTCTCATTTTGCCTTTCAAGCTTAAATCTCAGAGTTTTCTTTTCTTCTTTGAAAAGAATTACTGGTTTGTTTGCAAAAATCTTGAGTATCAGTCAGAGAGCAAAGTGTAACAAGCAAAACACCCTGCATGCCTTGAGAAGAAATCCCTCAGCTTATTATCATTCTATATGAATTAAAGATTTTTCTGGAGCTTTCTTCTGTTCCCAGATCATTCAAAATTTATATTCACTTTATGACTCTCTAATAAGAAGTCCTAAAAGTTGATTTAAACTTTCTAGTGTTCTTTTATGGACATGGCAATTAAAGAATTTTGTATTGTATGGCAAGAGTGAAAATATGGAGAAAAATGGAAGGGATACAATAGAATCAACAACCAGCTACAAATTTCCAACCTACACTTTCCCTTCTGCTGTTTCTCTTTGTCTTTGATTAGCACACAGCTTCTTTTCCCTGAAGAAGTAATAAAGGACTAGAAGTTAAAAGATCTGGAAGACTCCATATTCTTTTTCATTGGCTGCTATTTTGAAGAGGATGCTGGCTTTTGATTTTTCTTTTGGGTTCTTCCTAGATCATTCAAAGAAAACAAATCAAAACTGTCAACACTGTGGAGCATGAAAAATAAACTGCCTTTTCTAACTGCAAAAAGTACCAAAAAAGCACTAATTTCTATCTTCTTGTACAAGCCTCTAACCCTTATCCTCTAATCTGTAGCTTTCACAGAATGTTCACATATTCTTCTGTATGACAGATCAAACTTTATTACTAAGAAATTGAACTTGTAAATACAACTAATATGTAAATGAGTGTAATTTTGAAGTTTAACTAGACACATATAAAACATTCAAGCAGGTTGACACAATTTCTTAGGGCTGCTGGTATAAAATAGTCCCCTATGACACATCTACCACGCTGTTAGTGGTTCTTTTCTTTTAGCTAGTGGAGCCCAGGCTTCATAAAAGGAGAACATGAGGCAGCAGAAAACCACATCCTTGCACATTGCCAGCTAGGAAATATCCTGTCACAAGATTTCTCACTGTGCTACAGTGGTGAGACTGCTCTAATATGTCCCTTCTTTAATACAACAGAGTCCTACATTTCTATGCTCGGTGTTCTAAAGCTAACTTAATTCTGTGGTAAAACAAACAGCTCCATGTAGCACTTGTTCATATTATTAAAAAAGACTTGGGCCAGGGATTTAGCTCAGTGGTTTCACCGCCTGCTGTGTAAGCGCAAGGACCAGAGTTTGATCCCTGTTACCAAAAAACAAGACTTGAGATCTTACATTTCCTGGATAAAGTGGTAGACACTCATCAGATTCCTCTGGAGAACTATAAATGATGAAAGAATAGCAGATGGTTTCAGAAAGGAGATTTATAGCGGTACTTTGTGTGGAATAAAGCTATTTTCTAAACTAGGTAATCATGCAAATAATATTTCAGATAGTATCTCATTTAATTATGTTACTAAATATCCCAAGAAATCTTTGACTCAGAGCTTAAACTAAAAACTATATTAGCTGATACTTTTAGGTTCTGGTGACTTGGTCCCTTTTCATATTGATTTCATATTATCACAAGATTAAACAATGCAATGCTTTTAACAGTTCAGTTTTCTGACTGTCATGCTTGGCATCTAACTTGAGAGAATAAAGGAAAAGTACCTCTCCATACCAGAGAGGAGGGCTAAAATTTTTCACATAAGCCAACGTAATGGGAAGGAAGAGTTACTTCTCTGGGTGAGAGGAGACACCGGGCAAGACTGCAGTCGGGGAAGGGCACTCAGGCACAGTGCACACAGGGCCGGACCTACACATCTGACCTCATGGCTGGCAAGGGGAAGGACTTAACAATTAACACAAGGATCCTACGACTGAACTCGGTGAATCTGCCAAGCCTCTCTGGCAATCCAGTGAATGTAAGGTATGAAAGTTCCAAGTTGGGAGGAAACACATTAGACATAGGTACTAGCTCTAGTAACTTTTCTTCATGAACCTGCTTCCAGAGTGAAAGGAAATGATGCACACGAGGAGTGTCATGTACATGATACTCCCATGCCTTAATAAATACAACTGGCTATGCAAATTCTGTTTCTCTTAATTCTCAAGTCACAATTCATTTCAATAGAGTTTGCTACCATGTAATAGTCCAAGATTCTCCTTGCTGATGTAGAATAACCACAGATAAGCCAACTGAAAACAAAAGTTTAAGATCTTCAGTGGTAGTTGGTAGTGGTATTAGACATCCTAAATACTACTTTAACATTCTAGGTAACATTCAATCTGTTGTAAGACTCAATTACACTGAGATATAAAGATATACATTTTGGCATTTATTAGCAAAAATGGTTCAGAAAAAGGAGTGGGTCAAAATTACAGAATAAGAGCTAAAAGTTATTTTTAGCTGTACTGTTTCTGGGGGACTTTAACCAGTCCTAAAATAGAACTTCTATGTATGTGTGTACACAGATTGAATTAGGGCAGGGGGAGAAATTAAACCAAAAATCTTAAAACTAGGAAATGATGGCCAGTGGGGAGAAAGGCCCCTAAGCTGCTCAAGCATCACTGGCTGAAGTAGTCTTCCAGGCCCTCCATGTCCGCTTCCAGGGAGGAGTTTAAAGAGGACAGAGCAGAAGACGCATCCTTGGATTTCTGGACACTTGGTTTGGCTTGAGGAGTTTCTGGTTGGATGGATTCCTTCTTGATGTCTTTTCCACCATTTAGGATCCGCTGGCTCTCATCAAAGAACTGATTGGGATGATTCAAGGAAAAGCCACAATCGTCTACCTGTACAGGGAAATGAATTTATATCACATTAACATATAGGAAAGGTATAACTAAAGGGATACCAACACTGCCCCAGCCCTCACCCAGAACTTACTGTCTGCCACACGGACACCAGCTATCCTCTTTCATGTCCATAATCCACTGCTTACCATCCGCATCCTGAGGCAACTTCAACCACTTCCCAAACATTAACGGCCACCACATTTCTATATCTAGTCATAGATACGCACACTGTTCTTCCTCCCAACCTAGCGTTAGTTCCCTGCCCAAATCCTACTCAACACTGCAGCTGACGCTAAGGCAGCTCAAACCCCACAGCAAGCCTGTGCTCCCCTCTGCTCATGTGACTGTCCATGCTGTGCAGCACACCAGACACTTCTCCCTCACCCTTTCAGCCTCTCCCATGTGCCCCATCCATCCAGACTGTTACCATCTCAAAATAAATGTGTGTGTCGGGGCTGGTGGTGTGGCGCAGTGGTGCAGCATCTGCCTGCTGTGTACGAGGCTCTTGGTGTGATCCCCAGCACTACCAAAAACAAAGCAAGTCTGGGGAACTATTCTGGGTGTTACGTGTTCCACAGTGAGAGTCACTGACAGACAAGTGAAGGACTATGTAATTCATCATTGTATCTCCAGCTCCAAGTAAAGGCTTAGCATACTGTAGACCATAAATAATTTAAAAATAAAGGATCTCAAAATTGCTCTTGATCGTTTTGATACAGATCCATAATACCATTCATATTTTAGAGCTTATTTATGAGTCTGGTATAGGTAATCTCATTTTGTATAATACAAACTCATTTTGTATAAAACAACCTAATTTATTGTAATTTCTTCATTCTAATTTTTGGCATTCCTTCATCTTTTTATACAAAATCTTTTTTAAAAAACTCACTGTGGATTAATGGAAAAATGTTAGTAGTTTTATGCTCCTTTTCTCAAATACTATCACTAATCTTCAATTTTGAACATCATCTTATATTACTCATTACTCTGCCTTTAGTACCCAATGAAAATGTCGAGAGCATCAATACTTCCTGTTCTTGAAGACTCAACAAGCACTAGTTCCACATTTTGATTCTAGAATTTACTAGAGGTGAACAAAAATATATTTCTTAATACAAATACTAATGGACATTCTGTGTCAAATGGCATACACACAAATACACAGCCTATAAACATATATGTTGTTCATTCCCACAGTATCCCTCTGAAGGTGGATCCATATTTCCCCAGCTTTTCAGAAGAGGGATCTGAGGAAGGGAAGTATTAAGTACCCTGTCCAGCACACTGGCAGGGCAGGGCTGGAGGCAGGACATGATCTAGCAGCATCCATACTCAACCAGGAGCTCTGATACCCCACCTTTGTGCCGAGGTCAAGTGTGTTGTACTCATATATTGTACTTTTTCCTTAAAACTTGAAAATCTTTACTGAGTCTTACTTTTACAGAGGTGTGATAAAAGAGCAGGACAACTTAAGGAACCTTCTCTGAAGTGTGAATCTTTTAAGTTGCTCCCTTCACATTCAACCCATGGTTTAGGCTGAGTTGATCTCATGTGATGCCCACCGGACTCCAACCCCTGCCTCTCACCCTCTGCAGCTGGAGTTGATGACAAAACATCATTCTGCTTAAGTGAGTTACTTTGGTTTCCTTTTAGGTGGTTGATACTTTTTGGAGACTATAAAACCATTATACTTCTTTCGCTCATCTATCTTGTATTTACCAATCTTTTTATATTCTTTATTTTGAAGTGACTGGTGCACAGTAGGTATCTAAAAAATATCTGGTAAACTAAGCCCCAAACTAGCCAGTGTATACCAGTCATGTATTTCACATATTAACTGAAGAACTACTATGGATAAGACCCACTTATAAAGTAGCAGTTTTATGAAGAATACATTTGACTAACTCTAAAAGTAAGTCATATACTTAAAACTTTTAAAAATGGAGAAGTGGTAGAGGTCACAGATACAAGTCTATACTGGCTGGGGAAAGCAAGGAAGACTTCTCTTCTGAGAACGTGCTGTTGAGGTACCTTAGAAAAACAGAACTAAACTCTGGGGAAATGAGGGACAAGCACCAGGACCACATGAGCAAGGCAAAGGGAATGTGCTGGGAATGCGAGATGTTCACATGGCCTGGTGTAAAAGGACATAACAGGACATAAAAGGACATAACGTGACATAACAGGAAACAAGGCGGGAAAGACTGGCAGGAGCTGGGCATGAGAGATCCCAGAAAACCAGGCTAAGTAGCATAGACTGATTCTCTGGGAGGCACTCTCACCAGGGAGTCACTAACACTTCCCAGAAGTAGAGTGGTGTGATTAGAGCCCTGCATGATCTTATGGTGGATTAAGACAGGCAGGGAAAAGGGACTTACAGTTCACAGCGAACTCACCTGATGGGTGGACCTCTAGACAGAAATACAGTATTTTTCTGGTTATATATGAACACCTCAGGTTCTCTGATTCTCTTTTGTAAGGTGTTGAAATGTTGGGCCAAAAATTTACAGTGACTTCAATGTACCACAGACAGCACACAGACTGACTGAAGATTTATTGTCCAGATCACTAAGACTGCCCAGATCACTGCTTTCCTTTCTTAAACTTTGCTGCTTAACTTCAAAATATTTCCTGAATGTTTTAGCATATTTCTATTAATAATTTTAAGAAATTTGTGAATTTCTTTATTATATTTATTTCATCCATTAAAATGGGAGATCCAACACAGTGCTGCATTTGCACAGTTTCATGAAAAGTTAAATGTCTAACATATTTTGATCAGAGGGATTTACATTTTTATGAAATAGAGAAAATAGTTCCAAGCACAGAGTTGCTATGGAGAAAACCAAAAGAATATGAAGGTTAGCTCTGGCCCGGGAGGTGACTGGCGCGGGACATTGGCGCTCTGTGCAGGAAAGTAAACCAAGATTTCATTTCTAGTATGTAAAGCCCATCAGACTCGGCTGTGATTTTACCTAGCACTCCACAGGCCCATGTGAATCCACCATCTCCCCATACAAATAGTTCACAGAAAGTGCCCATGAGTGCAACACTTAAAGAAAGATTAAGGAAAACAAGATTTTCATTTAATTCCTGTTGTAGTGTAGTAAAACGTCTTAAAATAGAGAATGAAGAAAATGACGAGACCTTTTGAGAAACCAGCATCTTCAACAGAAGAAAACTGTTTGGAATTTCAAGAAAGTTTTAAACACATAGTGAATCTGAAGAAAATACATACTTGAAAAATACTCTCAGAAATATCAGAGCAGGTCCAGAGGAAGGGGCTTCCCGGCCACCATCCCTCCTGCCACTCCCGGCCCAGAGGAAGGGGCTTCTGAGCTGCTGTCCCACTGCTCCTGGTCCAGAGGAAGAGGCATCCCAGCTACCATCCCTCCCGCCGCTCCTGGCCCAGAGGTAGGGGCTTCTGAGCCACCATCCCACTGCTCCTGGTCCAGAGGAAGGGGCT